ACACACACACACACTTCCTGCAGGCTTCTCTACCTTTATCACCAAGTCCACGTAGCCTTTGTCGTCATCACTGGATGTGGGAGTGTATGGACGCACCACAAGATTCCCATTGATCTTTGCAGACAAGTAGATGTGTTGTCCTGGAGACACAAAGACACACCTTATATTGAAAACATACATATGAGGTCAAATTGAGGAGTGGAGAATGGAAAATAATAGCACGGTCAAATAAAAGTTCAGACAATATGTTTCCACATTGTATCTTAGCTAGAAAATATCTCATCAACAATGAGGACCAGATAATTATCTGATATTTGTGGGTTCAAAAATGCTCTCTTAATAGTAAAGAGTGTTTTTATAGCTTTGAGAAACACATTTTTTCAAAATTCCATTTTAAATTACCTTTGAATGAAAACACAAATCATGGTTTTGGGTAGAATTATAGAAACATTTTGAATTTGTTTTACACCATTCCAATTCCCAGTTCAAAATAGAAAACAAAATGTAAATTTTGCATTCACAAAAATGCATCACTCTTTTGTGATACTTTTGTCTAATTGGGGAGGTTGTTATATTTGTTGTACATATTGTAGAAGGTTGGGGGGCAGGGCAGATTCGGTTCTGCAAATGGAAATAAACAGCCCTAATATACACTGTAATCATTTCTAATAGCAGGTTAATGGGATGCCACTGTTTTAAGTAAATATTTGATTAATGCCGCTGTTTCACTGCACCAATTTACCGACTGGCAGACCCAGCACATGCTCAGGTGACGGCAGAGCAAAGCGGAACTTCCTGGTGTCATGGCTGACAATCTGAATGAAAAAGAAAAACAACAAAAAAATATTTTATGGGAAGAAAGGCAGAAGGTAAAACAGTCAAAGTCACACTACCTAGTGAAGAACTTTAATGAACATCTCAACCTCCTCACCTGTTTGTCAATCAGCCTCAGTGCATACTTGATGTTGGGGTCTTCTAAAGTAATGGCTGGTCTCCTCTTGGAGAAGAACAGTCTGAAGATCAGGTTAATGATGCTGTCAAAGCCGCCCCGGATCAACTGTGTTTATGCGGGAGAAGAATTCTTCAATCAAATGGTCGTCACAAACAATTGTTGGAGACAACTTTGCATTCATTACGTGCTTTTCTCTAACAATACATTAAACCACGTGTCAAACTCAGGCCCAGGGGCTAAATCTGGTCTGCAATGTAATTATATTTGGTCTGCAAGATCATATCAAATGTGTTCTAGAGTTGGCCCGCCATTATATGGCCCCTATATACTGGCAGGATTTGTAGTATTAGCAATGTATGTGCTAATACTACTAATGTTATAGCACATACATTTTGTTTCTTTTTTTTGTCCTTTGGAAAAAAAAAGATTAATATTAAAAAATAACTCAAAAGGCTAGAGATAAAGAGACATAGCAAGAAACTAATAGTACTGGTGTGTGATATATTTCAAATTATATATATTATAAATTATATCAATTATATTATAATATTAAGCTTTGATTGTTCCAGATTCAATGTTTACACAAAACTAAAGTTTGTTTCTCATATGAAAAAAATCTACATATCTGGTGAGAAGGGATAATAATGTACAATTGCTGTCAATTTTTCAATAAATATGAAATTGGCACGCGACTTTGACCCAGTTCTCAATTTTGGCCCACAGTGAATTTGAGTTTGACACCGCTGTATTCAAAACCATTGGAAATTACGGGGGACGGCGTTGTACAATACTGCATTCGAACAAAGTTAATGTCGACAAGAAGGACAGGACAACAACATAAATGGTGAAAGTAGTAGACACAGCCACACAGACCACTACTGACACCAGTTACATTTTTGAACGTCCGTATGACGAGAACATTATCACCGCCATTATTATTATTGTCTAAAAAAAAAATTTCGGCCGATAATGAATTCTGAATTCAACAGCGCCTCCTAGTTGATGTATGACTTAACCATGTCCAGGAACGCATGAAATAAACATTGGACGTGACGTTGGAAACGGGAAACTCTCATAAAAACAAGAGCTGAAATCCGTTGTTATTGAATAAATCTGGATAAATGGTCCAAACTTATCTGCTGCAAAATAACTTGAACGACGTGTGTCGTAGTTTAGCCTGGGACCAATATTAAACGGGTAACTATGATTGCGTTAATTGCAAACACCTGCTAAAACTGGTGGCGCAGAATGCTAGCGTTAGCTTTAGCGTCTGAGAAAGAGGGGCCTAAGCTGGGCGTTGTCTTTCTGCTGCGAAAATACTTTTTTTTTTCTTTTTTTTAAAAAGCTTTAGTCCGCGTCGGAGCAAATGACTCATACAAATTCCTGATGGTAAGACCCAGCCTTCTGTCAAACACACATACTGAGCTCAAAAAGTTACCGACAGCCAACAGTGGCGTGAACGTGTGCAGATAACTATTAATAAATCAAACAATGTGTATGTCTTACTTACCCCAATGATGTACGACAACATGTTAAATCCGTTAAGGTCAATATGTCAGAAGAAAAGTTTAATATCCAGTCTCAGCCGATATCACACCGTACAGTCCGCTGTGCAAATTCAAACGGGAAGTCAGACAAACGGTTGGGACGACACTTCCGGAAAGGACATTGTCACAATAAAACTGCCGTATTAGTTTTACCCAAACTAAAATACGCAAATTATTAGCAATATTGATTTTTATTAAAATAACGTTCACTTTTAGCATTCAAATTATTAACTTTTACTATACATTTCCGCTATAACCGCTGTTCACATTTGTCGCATATACTTTTATTTTGGAATTACCTTCGCGTAAAGTTCTCCATCTTTTTTTAGTCTCCTCTTTGAAATTAAGGATTAAGGATTTTAATCTACCTTTGATAAAATAAGAGACTCACATTATTGAGTCTCTTATTTTTGTATACGATTTGTATATATTGTATCTTATTATTGTATTGCACCTAATGCACCGATTATTAACAATCGGAACATTAGGTACACTGTCTAATAATGTTTTTGGGTTTTTTTAAAAATGTATGATGATTTTGGATTTTGTGTAGTTCTCAAAAGTTGTTTTTAAAAGGAAATAAAAATTGGTCTGATGTCGTCGTGACATTTTAGGTCAATAATAATAATAATAATAAAAATACAGCACACAGCGAAAAGAATACTGAAGTAAAATATTTCCGGTAATTTTAGCTACCACTGACAGAGCAAAGATTTGCGTCAGGTCCGTTTGAGATTTTAAAATAAAAGCTTCAACAATACTACGAATGCAATTTTGTTTTGCATAATAATATTTTATACATTAATTACATTGTTCAATCATTCGTTTCTTGGTGGAATAATAAACATTGTGTGATATTTACCAACACAGGGGTGTATTTTGACATTGTAATTTTATTACATTGTGTAATATTTACCAACACAGGGGTGTATTTTGCTAATATCGGCTGTGGATGAAGAAAGCGAAGTTAGCTTGAGATAATGTAAAAAAACAAACAAACAAACAAAATAAAAACAACTAATAAATCAAATATCTATGCGCCCGTACATTTCCTTTAAAAAAAAAGTCTAGTTTAGTTGGTCATCACTGGTAGTTTTTGTACCGAGTCAGGGTCGTTAAAGCAGAAAAGGTGATGACATTCTCCCATTCGTCCTCTAGATGGCAGAAGTGTCCTTTAAACAGCTCCACGTGAAAAATGCAAATGCTATTTCACAGAAAACTGAAATTTGGACATGTCATCGAATTAACGGATGCTGACACTTTTTTCCTTGCTACGCCAGTTTATGCAGCAACACGTGATACTTGTACGAATCAATAGTGCTGTGAGAGTGAAGCTGCACAGCCATCAGTTTTAATATTAAATACATTATTCAAAGGCAGCGACATGCCGCATCAGAGACGTTTTGTCGTTCACTGATTAAAACTTACTCTTATCCTATTTGGAGCCGTTGTACAGGACACGATGGACTGGTAGCCTGCACAGACCTTTAACTCGTGTGGGTGTGTTCTCTTGACGCAGCTAACAAGGTGATGACGGTCTGCCTCTACCCCAGAGATGGAAAAAAGAACACGTGATTAGTCCCTGTATCAACAGGAAATAAAACATTTTTATTGATCATTTGTGTGTATATGAAGTTATATAACAACAGTCAGAAAACTCCACAGAGTGAATCACTACACAAAGTGAAAACAGAAACTGTCAAACACCTTGTCCATAAAAAGAGGAAAAGAAAAGGGGGGAAAAAAGGAAAACGAAGAAGAAAATGAAGAGGCAGATGGCAAAAAGTTGAACTTGTCAGCAGACGCGCCCTCGAGTGGGGGCGAGCGATATGGCAGGAAAAACAGTTTTTTCTACGAGATTACAGAGAAAAAGTTCCACACACAAAATACTCAAGCAGGCAGTTGGTATACACAAAGGCAACTAGGATCTTTCTACAGCATCAGATTCTAATACTTTACACAGCTTTGTTTCTCAAAAGTCAGTGTGGTCGTTTGTGTTGGTGTCACAGAGAGACTCTCGACCTCCTGCTCACACAGAGAGCTTGAGAATTTTGGAAGGGGCGGCAGGGAGGAGGGGGGAGGCAGAGAGGGTTGATGACTTGTGCCTTTATTTTGGAGGAGATCGGAGCGAGAGGAGCGTAGTGCTGCGGAGCAGCTAATGGCTTGATGCTTCCGTGGGTCTCGGTTCCCCACACGTGACCCAATCTGATGGGTTGGACTGACTGATAGACTGTACATAGGAATGGGGCGTAGAACCATACTGCAGCCGCAGTTTGAAACCATTAGCTTGACCCATTTTTGTTTATGTACAGTCTATGTTCAACGTAACGCCGCCTGCGACTCCATTCCCTGATATTTCTGTCTGTTGTTTCATTTCCTTGCAGCTGTGATTTTGGATTTCTCTCTAAGTACAACACTCTGGTCAGACTTTGAAGTGTTTAGAACTGAAGCTGGACTGGACTTCATTAATCACGCAACGTGTTTATGCAGCTGTACTACAGTAGATATGGAAATGCCGGGGTAAAATAAATGATTGAAATATTAACAAAATGACGTCTTTTTTTTTTACAACAAAAAGTGCAAATTACATCTAGTTTTACGTTTTAAAGTAATCCACACCAACACAGACCGTACTGTACATTCAGAGTTCTCTTCTCAATATAAAACAGGGTCTTTAGTTGAGTCAACAATAACAGAGAGAATGGAAAAACAAAAATAATGTTGATGACGTTCGGTGTGTGATTGACGAATACGAAGATAGACTGATATTTTCAGATGAATAATCCTATTCACGTTTGTTTATATTTAATCTAGATTATACCTCTCGATGTAAAGTTATTTACATGGCGTTTCACCAAGGTGGGAGGGGGTTGTTGTTGTTTGGGTTTTTAACTGATGCTCCCTGAAACATCTGATGCTGAGACTGAAAACACACCTGTGTAAAAGGGGGAGGGCACCTCACACAGAGGTCAACGAGGGTCAACCTCTGACCCATAGACCAACCTGGTAAAGTACCAGGGAGCAGACTTATACTGGACCATGACTGCAGTGCAGAGAAGTGAATTAAAGTGAATTAAATCTACAAATGTACAACATTTGTTAAAACCTGAAATCACCTGCTACTTCCACCAGGCCACAACAATTCTACAAAATTCGGGAGTTTTTTTCCTCAACGACAATGTTTGAAACATCCTAAGACCTCGGTCAAAAGTGCTGCAGCCAAGTTAGCAAAGGCTACCTTCACACTGCAGGTAAACGTGACCCACATCTGATGGTTTTTTTGACAGTGTGAACATTAATATTCAGATTGTTCATATCCAACTAACGTCATTTTCACGTGCGTTTTTATATCAGATGTGTATTTGATGTTTTTGGTCATTTAGACTCACAGACTTAGACTAACAACTCTGTGCCAGGTTGGGGGGGGGGGGGGGGGGGGGGGGGAGTGGTGACATGTAAACAATGGAGGAAACAAGCAGGTTGAACCAGTCAGTGGTGAGAACGGGATTGTCAAAGTTACACAGAGACAGGTACACTGGTATCTCTGGGATCCTGCCCGGGGAGGTCTACTGTACACTTCAAGGTCCAAAGGCTGGGGAGCGAATCCAGATCCAGCCTTGAGGATCTCAGCAAAAATACAGAAATGACCAACAAGACCTGCAGTATGAATGCAGTCCAAGACTGAGACCAGGGGTTTCGGAATCATGTGACTATAATTCTTCACTGGTACAGAGCAACAAAAATGGAATCAGACAGAGTGAAGTTCTCTACAGACACAGGAATGTGAAACAAATGTGACTGTGATGTAAACACTACTGAAATACCAGGTCAAGAAAGTTCTGTGTACATGAAGTATGTACACGTAGAATTCTTTAAGAGGGAGAAGAACCAGGACAGGAGTAGTGGCGTCTCTGCAGACCACAAATGTGAAAAGTGTCAGAGAGACACAGAAAGAAACACTCGCGCAGCGTCTGCTGCTCTTCCACATCTCTGTCAGGATTCCCATTTAGTTTGCCGGACTCGTCTACTGGAGCTGAATCTGTGTGCTGTGTCCTAACATTTTCACTGGACTAAAGGACCTTGTCCAAGGTTACAATCTGGATCACACCAGCTGGACCAACACTATAGGATGAACACACAAATATTGCACAGTGCTCAACAAAATGCTGCGTGACGCGACTCCTCTGCACTGGGGTTAAATGCCGTTCGGCTCCTTTAGCTTTTTGTTGTCGTGGTGTTGTTAGGCGACACCAAACACACTCTCACTTTCTTTCTCTCGCTGCGTGTAGAAGGAAAAGTGGCTTAAAAACACTACGACATCACTACAGAACAAACTGGATTTGGCTACCTACTGATAGATCTACATCTATACACACACACACACACGCACACACACACACACACAAACGTACGGCAGTCACAGTGATACACAAAGCAGTCCTCAAAGACTCTTATGGAATGACACGTAGCTTTTTTCATAATAGTGCTATCAACTACACAATAACATTGAAAACATTTAGAAAGTTCCTCCTGAAGCTAGCATCGAGTATACGCAAGAGGTTCCTCCGAGATAAGAGACTTTATGTTTTGCTTTTTTAATTGATTCAAATGTACTCTTCTCCTATTTGGAGCCGTAGTACAGGACACGATGGACTCGTGGCCCATACAGACCATTAACTTTTACGGTTGATTTTTCTGTGTTCTCTTGACGCAGCTAACAAGAAAACAAAGCTGAAGACACTGCTGTAACTGTGATTTGTCATTGTTGCTTTTTTTTTTTTTTAATAAGACGAACCAACAGGGGGATTTCTGCTCTGTCCCCCTGCAAGGGTCCCGAAATAAACCCGGCCAACAAAGGTCCAAAAAGATCCCCAAGAAGTCCACAGGCTAATTTCAAAGACATCCAGTGCAAAACAGCAGCCACATAAAAGGTTCAAACTGGCAGTAAAACATGGCTAGCTCTAATGTCACTGTGAGAAGGCAACACAAAGTAAAGACTGCGATTTCAGGGCACCGCTGCAGACCCAGACATTGTTCCCGATAAACCAAAGCTACGACCGCTAGCTAGCAGGTGGGAGTGTGCACTTACGTGAGTCGACTCCCGTAGAATGGCAGTGTTTAGAAACTGGCTTCACACGTCAACGTTACACCGACCTCAAGTTTAAATCAATATTTTTTTTGTTTTTACTTCATCCTCTGATTAAAGGCAAGTTGAAAGAATCAGAAGAGCGCCCCCTGGTGTCAGTGGATTTACCCTCATCTCAGTCATCTTTTTTGTAAAAAACAAATCATGCAGTTCACCGAAAATAGTCATTGGATTGGTCTAAAAAATACGTGCTAATCTTTTATTTCTAAACTCGGTCTCTGGAGATCGGAGCCTGTTCGTCCGTTTCAAATGAACCCAGAAGTAAATATCCTTGAATTAGCAAAAAATGGAGCCCGTGTCAAATGCTATTTTTGTTGATTTTTAAAACGAGGACCTGTTTACTGAAGTGGAAAGATTGAGCACTAACTGTTTTTTTTAGATGTGTGCATCAGGTTGATATCAACAAAGGTCCCTGGATTTGAGAAACAAGTAGAAAAAGTCTTTAGAAATCATGTGCTTGTATTTTTTCCAGCAGCATAATTATTTCTATTTTTCCCGCCGAACCATAGCAGTTAATGGCCTTGTATTTTAGAGTTTGGTGTGTGTATGTGTTGTATGTATATATAGCTATATATCTATATTTATATATATTTAGCTTTGCTGAACTTAAAGCCAGACGTTGTCCTTCACGATATTTCCACGAGTTTCTCGTTTAAGATTTATTTTTCTCTTTGTCTTTCTCCTCTGGAATGCAATAAGGTAATAAGGTAGATTTTTTTTAAATCCTGGGATTATATAATATTGGCTTTCCTCTATATCTGCATTTACATAATTTAAAATAGAACATCTTATTAAAAACATCGAGATATACACAGATTAGGAAACGAGTAACAACATACAAACACGTAAACTAGAAATCATTTTTGTCTGTATACTTATATATACACCTGTGGTACCGTAAAGTCTTTCAGTCATGCGCTATCTATACAGGTCATATTGCTTAAAAGAAGGGGGGATTTGGTCAGGGGGGCAGGGGGCGTCGATGATGAGATTATGGAAAAGAACCAGTGTGGAACCAACAATACAGATAGAGAAGGAGAGAAGTGAGGAAAACCAAGGAACCTGATAGAAATAAAGCAGAGAGTAGGAGGTCAGAGGGGGAGAGGCTAACATAAAAGGAGGCGGGGTTTACATGAACGGACCCATTTATCACTGAGGTATTTACACATACTGGCTAAAGAGTACTACAAGGCAGGTGCTGAAAGGGCCCTGTCGTCTATTTCTTGGTGGAGAGCTGAGCGTCCACCTCCTCCTCCGGCTTCAGCACGTGCCACTGGGCGATGGGTCTCCTGGGGTTGGCCAGCATGTCGGACCAGTGGCGCAGCTCCGTCCCCGAGCTGTTCAGGCCCACAAAGACTTTGCCGATGGCATCGTTCTTGCCGATCTTGTCATAGTCCAGAACAGTTATAACAACTTGCACTTTCTGTAACGGGAGGGGGGGGGGGGGGGGGGGTGAGGTTGAAAATGAGAGACATATTTTAGAGCGATTCTTTGAACCAAGCTTCTCCCTCGACTCCACAACGTCTCAAAGCAGTTTCCTTGAGAAATCAAGCGAATGATGTGGCAAGGATGTAGGACAGGATATGAAAAATGCATCTACGTCTTGATGTTGTTCCATCGACTGTTCAGACATGAGAGGATAAATATTTTAAGCCAGCTGAAAGGAGCGGCAAAAAAAAAAAAAAAAATCAAGGTTTTATGGTATTTTTTATGACTGAAAATCAGCCAAAGCTACAGGTTACTTTATACAGTATATTATGGTTAGAATCTATTCTAGGACATACAGAAAGACGGACGCCAGGAGAAAAACTACAAGTGCGCGACTTAGCTTGGTAGTTTCCTAACTTGTCCTTCAGCGCCGCCCTTTTGCAGATATGATGTCGTTGAGTCCACACATACTGGAACTCCACTGATTCAAAACACTGTGATTCCAATGCGACTGCTATTGTCAGTAAAGACTGGAAATTCAGTACAAACCAGTGACATTTCCCCACTGTAGAAAAACTGACAACAGTTTGTCAAGTGTCGTTCTGTATCCTACCTGGAACACCTGCCTTAGCCTAACATGTTGTTGTCCTGTTAAGAAAATCTCTGTGTTTGCACTCATTTCACATTTTCTGGGTTGAACCTGGTAGGAGACCACAGACTTATTTCCACCTCTGCATGTTTGTTTATACCACACGGTAATACTGTGGTGCAGAAAGCGAGTGCCCTCCCAGCCCAGACCTCTGTGATTTCCATCAGGCTGTTTGATAATTCTGGGCTTTAAGAACAGACTCTCCTCCCCACGGTGTTTATTTTAAGGGACACAGTGAGGAGGACCGACCGGGGCTCAGGTCCTGGGCCACAGAATACGAATTAGCTAACAAACAGCTCTGATTAAGTTTCGATCCGCTCGGAGCTGCCGTCACCTGCATGAACACAGGAGCAGTGTTCTGAGAGCTTGCCTAATCCGCCATGTAATGAAATAGAGGCTAAGGTTCCCAGACGGCCAGGTGGGGTTAGTTGATTTTAAAAAGAGACGACTCGCATCTAAACGGCTCATTGACAACGAGAGGCTCTCACGGAGAATTAGCCGCAACTTTGACTAATTATGACTGGTCCGTACACCGGGTTTAAACAGTCACGCACTACAACAATACACTGTCCTCAAACCGTACACCGGGTTTAAACAGTCACACACTACAACAATACACTGTCCTCAAACCACACAATCGTACCAATAATTTTGAATGCGTGAATGCTTTGCCTTCATTGTCAGCTTCAAACAAACTGATTATTTAATGTGTCTGTTTAAAAGCAGGAATAGATTACTGAGGTTGTAGAAGCAATTATTTCATGATTAAAATCAAAATGAGGTTTAAAGATTCATTTCTAAATTGACATTCTTTGGTGTGTCAGAGCTGAAGGTAGTCCACCACCTTTTTTTAAATCGCACCAACCACTTTCTTTGTACTGAACCTGACCTTTTAAAGTGCAGGTTCAAACCTCATCATAGCGTGACCTCCCGTGTCTCTCAGGACAGCCTTCGATGTCCCAATCAGCTGTTCACGACTCAATCAGTGATTTAGGTAATTATTTAATGATCAGCTCGGCTCTTAGTGATGAGATAAGAAATGCAAATTCACCAAATGCACCGGTGTCAAAGTCTTGATTTGAACCAGGCTGATTGCCATCGACAGAGTTTAAACTGAATCTGAAGCTCATGTAACCAAACCTGTCACTAATGAGCTCTGACGGGATTTTCTTTTCTCGACCAAAGACATAACATTGTTTACTGTTTTTCCTTTTTGAGACATTTGGTGTTTTGTTTTTTATTATTATTTTGGGATAAATCGTTGCTATTTCTGGTATCTGGATGTGACTTTTAAAATGTTTTATTTTGTTTTACGGAAATGTCACATTGAACAGCAACATTTATAAATAAATTAATATATATATACTGTATATTAATATATATATTATACATATATATATCTTTGTTATCGTCTTCTTGGTAGTTGGTAAGAATGTACTCTGGAAATTAACATTTCAGGCTATGTGTTTGTTGACAGCTTTTAAAATTGTATATCAAAACGTCTGTTTTACTGTTATGATGAAACGGCTCCAAAGTGATTGTTTGGAGAGCTTATACGAAGCTAGAAACTTTCTTGGTTCTTGTGAAAACAAATCCTGAAGAAATCCTGTCTCTCATGACTCCACTGTTCTGAGAATGTTCCGACAAAACGTACCTGGATTTGTTCAAATGGGACTTCAAAGCTAAAAGACTCGTTGTAGTAAGGGTTGAGGGTGTTCTTCTTGATTGTCGTCTTCTTCTTCTTCAGCCTCTTGCCGTTTTGCATCAGGTGGATCTTCACGTATGGATCTGCATTCAAAGGAAAATTACCTTTAGTCATAAGGAAGAAGGCACAAGATATTTGACTGCTTCTTCAGATCGTGATGTACACGATCTCTTATCTGAGAACAAACTTCACTTAAACCTTGAATGTTACTTGTTCAATAAACTTCAAACTGACTCCAATGATCGGTGGTGAAGCATGGCCATAAAAAACAAACACACTGTTTCAGCCTCTCAGTTTAACCTCCTGGTTTTCATCTGTCTAAACGCCATCTGAAGTGGCAGCCAAGTGGCCTGATTGGTCCGTCCTCCTCCACTCTGAGGCAATCAGGTAGAGTGCGTCCGGGCAGCGACGGTGCCGTGGTCTTTTGTTCATGACATTTATGACACTTCCTGATTTTGTTTGTGTTCTCCAGTCATTATAAACCCGAACTGGACGAGAGGGAGAGTTTAGCGTCTTGGGTTGTTCTTTTGAAGGAGAAACGAGCGTCCGAGACAGAGCTTGTGAATTAAACACCATGTTTTCAGCTTTAATTGAACCATTAAAGGGAAAAGGTGAGTTCATTTTCACATTTGAAGAGGCCATAATGAGTCCAACGTGTGCGCAGCTAAAGAAAAGAAAAAAAAGTTCCAGTGTGAAAATAAAGGCAACCACGCATGAATGAATGGATGGAGTCCATAATTACTGTGGTTCAAAGAATATGTTAATCCCATTCATTGCCTTTATTGTCACTTAACACGGTCCACTGCTACATTAGCGTTAGCGCCAATTAATTTTCGTATTCAAAGAATGTATTGTACGGCCTACAGGTTTGTTCTTCACAAACATCTGAGGTGGGAATTAAGGAAATGAGCAAATTGACGTGGTCTCGGTGAAGGCGACCTCTACGACCTCTGAGAGGGAATCGTCCAGCTCAGTTTCAGTACAACACTGAACTGCAACTTCAAGACAAAAATTTTTTTTTTTCTTCTTCTAAACTTTAGGAAGAGCTAAAAAGGCTCCAACCGTCTCCAGTGTCACACTTATTTATGACACGTCCCCCCTGGGGGGCACTCAAAGCTTCAGAAATGTGTTTTCATTTTGCTGATCCACGTCCCACCGTCACAAAGCTCCTCGGAGACTTATTTTGACGTCATGGATTATCTTTTGCCTTGGCGTGACAAAGTGAACTGTGGGAGACAAACACACTGATGTTTTAATTCTCCTGTAACAGACTCCTGGTATCTTTGGTCATTTCAGACCATGTTGCTTTCAGCCGTCTTAACCCAAGTCTTTTAGTCAATATCCTTGCTTGATGTCGACTGCCATCTTGTCCCACTAGTCGATGTGATAACTTAGATTCATCTTTGAATTCCTTTTTTTATGAAGTCTGTAGATAGAATGAATGTTTTTTTGAGGATGTGAACGATGCTAAGAAATGGTCGGATCATCACTGGGGTTTTATCAGCAGCAGACACTGTCTAACTTTTATGTTTATCTTTTGTTCAGTATATGGTGACGAGAAACCAACAGCCTGTGCCTTGAAAATGGAGATAAAACCCACAAACAGAGAGAGAGAGAGAGGGGAAGAGAGAGGGGAAGAGAGAGGCATAAATGGGAAAGGAAGCAGAATAGGTAAATGACCGAGGCCTGAGTGAGAAGGTAGCTGCAGCTAATGGAGTGGGTGTCCATTATTACTCTCCTGCTGAGAAGAGCAGCAGCGCTCGGCTGATAGAAACAGTGATAAATGAGGAGTGTGAGTGTACTGTCACTTTTTACACCAGATGAATACGTCTCTAATGAAACCCCAGAACGAGGAGCTTCTCCATCCTGATGTCATTCACTGTGTGTGAAAGAAACTCATGGTCTGTGTTCGTGCACCGAGTGACACATTCAGAAAGGTGACGCATTTACAAACACGTGACATTAGAGATGTTGACGCTTAGAAATCTTAGCATGAAATGTGAAAACGTCCTGGTGATGAATTTTGCGAAACCTTTTCTATGTTCTATTTATGGTCAATGTTTTGGCTTTTAATGAGCTAAGTCTTCATGCTAACCTTTAGCTATTGCTGTGTTTCTGGAGAGCTTTTGGAAAATCTTAATGATCATATACTGTATTTTCCGGCGCACCTGAATATAAGCCGTAAAGATTTAAATATATATATATATATACATTTACATATATAAGCCACACCGGACTAAAAGCCGCCGATATCCAGTACCCAAAAACTAGTGTGTTCTTCTTTGCACTGACCTCCCCTGTCTGTCTCATTTTTGCAATTTCTGTTAGAACGCCCCCTGGTGGCTGAAGAAAAATCCATAGAAAAGCCACATCTTTGTATAAGTCGCATGGTTGTGGGGAAAAAGTAGCGGCTCATAATCTGTATTTACATTAGAGTTTGATGTTAGTTCTCATTGCTTTAGCCACTTTAAAAATATTACATATTTGCTGTGATACCCATCAGTAGTTGAACTTTAACTCTAACACTAACAAACGTGAAAAAAACACTGATGCTGTGATTGGACTGAAACAGTGATATTAATCACTAGATTAGTTGAAGTCAGAATATTAAAGTCCACCTCACGTACTGCCTCATATTGGTAAATGAGTCCTAGGCAGAGCTGAATAAGAATATGGAAGATAAACCTGAAAGGAACAACACACCTGTGGCCCTGCTCGGGCTGTTATCAGGACGTGATCATCATTCTCAGCAGCACAAGAGTTGGGCATTATTGAGTTTCAGGAGACTCGGCGTAGCTCATATCCGGCCCATTTTACCTCCTCTACCCAGACGGATGTAATCTCCCTCTATTTTATGGATGAATGGCAGCACCACTGATGCTGGAGCAGTTCCACTCGTATGAGTACAGCACAGAGACTGGCCTTTCTTCACTGTTCTGAGGGGTTACTCATCTGAGTCCTGCGTCATCTAAGTCCATGGTTTATGAGCTGGTGCACTATCACTACTCTATATGATATTCCTGGGAGTGGGGGGGGGGCAGATCTGTGTCACACCGATGAGTTCAGATGACACCTTCTTTAGACCTTGATGCCACTGTGACCCTAATAGGCTGCTGTCAATGTTGTCAGGTTAGCAACACTGCTAGTATAGACTTAGATATGGCTTGGTTATCATTGTACGTCTACTCACATCATCTTGTGTTGACAAAGACTGGTCCATGGAGGACTGTGGATTGTTTTTCTCTCCTTTTCAGAAGCTCAGACTCCTCTACACCACATGGATGTGGATTATTGTGTAGCTCTTGTGCTGCAGTTGAAGAATCCTAATTTTTCCGAGGCTTAGAAAACCCCTCTGCAACTCATTTGCTTCTTAATGTCAATAATCTTTGGAATTTGCATTTATCGCATTTAAGAAAAAAAAAAAAAGAAAAAAAAGGACAACGTCCTTGGTGTACTTAATCACTTTTAAATTGCTTTCTTCTCTCCAGGCTGTTTATCATTTTAATGATCCTGTGTGTCCAGCGCTTTACTGAGTAGGAGACAGACCAGAGAGAGGAACAAAACAAACAAACCCCCACAGCGGAGTGGCACGGTGCTGAGCTGCAGCACCAGGTCCAGGCAATGCAGCTCCATTACCACCAGCCACGCAGAGCCCGTGTGCCGTGATAACCTCCTCCACTGTGAGCCATTACCTTGGTTATGTGATGCCGCACAGCCTTCTGGGACTTTTTCAAGAAGTACAAAGAGGTTGGGACAAATCACTTTTGCTGCAACTGCCTCCAGAAGCTATTTAGCCTTTTCAGACATTTAGCCTTTGTGTCCGACACACTTTGTCTGACTCTCCTCAGACACACTGTAGACACCGACAGCTGAAAGTACTGTAGTGTAAAGGATTTAGAACAACTGTTCCATTTTGAACAGGCCATCAGCTTCCCAGCGCATGAAGCTAACACGCTGAGGACCACTGGTAGTTGGTGGACAGTGTGTTATCTTGACTATTTTGACTTTCCAAAACTGAAACCGATTATATATTCATTTTTAACTTTGTTATTCTTTTTAATCGACAAGGACATTATCGCCATAAAACTTCAGAGAATGTCGAGCAGGTGTGTCACGGGCAAAAAACAGACTAAATTACAGCTGCTATGCATTAGCTTGAAACTGCTAAGCTAAATAATCTGATCTAGTGTCATTTGTACCTTATATACTGCGTAGTTTTGAATGACTCCTATTTGGTTCCACTGTCGCCATGACAATAAAATTAGGATTCTTAAACCTGAAGAATGTTGAGCTTCTTTAAGCTCAGATAGATTTTTAATTCACTTTAACGGAGGACACAACGGCAGCGGTTTATGTTGGTAGAACGTACTAAAAAAGGTAGCAGTGGTCCAAAGGCAATGAAGAAAAATCGTCCCTGATATACGAAAGTTTCCTATATTTCTAGACAAAAGTGGAGCCACACATTTTCCTTCCTGTCCTTTTCTGTCACTCAACACATTTTAAAAGTGTCCTGCGGTGAACCGGTCAGAGTTCCTTGACTCTTAAGAATCTGTCTGGGTCGGGCCTAATGTATATGTATTGGAAGTGTACAGTGCCACAGAGCCAACTTTAGTGGAGAGAGGAGAAACTTTGACTGTAATGAGACTGGAATTATTTTGAGACGACAGCTAAAGAGCATGCTGTCTGGCTGTGTCACCGCTGTGGAGTAGCAGCGACGGCTACTGTAGCAGCTAAAAAAGTCAAAGTGACATTTTACAAATATTAGTTTAGTTTTTCTTTTTGTCCCTTTTCTCAAAGACAGAGCGCTGATTCTGTTTCATCAGAAGCCAATCAAAAGAATTATTTGTGATTATACATTGGCTAATGATAATACCCACATCTTCCTCAGTGAGCCATAATTAGGTTCGGTAAACAGGATGACAATTGAGGAGGAGGCCGTTCCCGGGCCATCAATTACTTGTCCTCCTCCTTAAGCTCTGGCTGAGCCGCTTTGTGGATGGAGGCTAATTATTGTTATTAGAGACCTGCCCATTATTTCATCCATCTGCCACAGTCTTTAGTGTTTCATGGATCCGAAACGCAGTTGCGAACAACAAAGTAAGGTTTAAATGGAAACTTCACCTGTAATTTACAGTTTATTCTGGTTTGTGTGTAATTACAGCTGTGTCCTGTGCTGCTGCTGCTGCTGCTGCTGCTGCTGCTGCTGCTGCTGCTGCTGCTGCTGCTGCTGCTGCTGCTGCTGCTGCTGCTGCTGCTGCTGCTGCTGCTGCTGCTGCTGCTGCTGCTGCTGCTGCTGCTGCTGCTGCTGCTGCTGCTGCTGCTGCTGCTGCTGCTGCTGCTGCTGCTGCTGCTGCTGCTGCTGCTGCTGCTGCTGCTGCAGGGTGATGATAATTCAGCCTGGACCGAACGGACCAGCGTGTGCAGATACAGCGTAACATGTAAATCAGTACATTGTGTCAAACGTTCTTCCTTCACCTATAATTTTTCCTTCAAAGCGAACAGCTTCACTTTTTGAGTAAGAATGCTGATAATCTCACAATTCAAACGGACAAAGTGGAACGGCGTGCTGGTGGCTTTAACTCCCAGCAGGGGAAGAGTGGAACTGGTGGCTTTAACTCCCAGCAGGGGAAGCTGTGTTTCTCTCTCTCTCTCTCTCTCTCTCTTTCACTATCAAAAGCATGTCAGAGCTGGACTGGCCTTAGTTTAGAGCGAGCCGTGTTTGTACTGCAGGGTACTCAGGTGAATGTGGTGAAGGTGGTGGGAGTACGCAGTGGGAAAAGAGTGAGAGAAACAGAGAGAGGGGCTGTCAGGCAGAAAGTAAGTGGAGTCAAGTGGATGGTAATTGTAGCAGAAGGAGTTGGAAACAAAGAAGTGTTTCTGGAGGAAAATGTACAGAGGAGAAGAAAAGAACGGTGTGTTGGTCTGTGTACTTCAACAGGTCAGAAAATAACTATTAATAAATGGTGACTAAATGAACAAAATATTAAATTTGATACAATTTTCATGTACAGTTAAACAAAATCTGCTTCTCATGCATGATGCAATAACTGATATCTGTATGTCTTTATTCAAAGAATCCGGATCTGCAACTGAACTTTATGTAACCCAAAACAAAAACGGGCTAGCAGTAGTTGTGAGCAGGCTAAAAATAAACAGTTTCTGACTGTTGTAAAGAACTGAAAGCATGGTGAAGTTTGGCTGCACTCTGACAACATGTCAGCTATAACATGACAAAGACCACATTTTTGGTGATATTTCCAGAGTAATGTTCTGCTTTGAGCTACTTCAGCTCTGGTGAGCTCTACAGTTTTGTCCCATACCTGACAGGCCTCCTACGTCCATTTTCTTCAGGTTCTTAGCCTCCAGGATGACCACAGTCAGTTTCCCAGCGGTGGGGACGTACCTCAGAGAGAAGCAGATATCGCCCAGTTTTTCTTGCTGTTGGAGGGGGGTGGAGGGGATGGGGCAGTGGGCAGAGACAGAGCAGAGGTAAGAGGAGATGTGAGCAGATACCACTACACCCTGGGTTACTGCATGACATGTTGTCTTTGGGACTTTGTTCCCATCTGTCCATGCACCTGGTACTGCTAACATGTCTCAGCCCTCAGAGGTTACACTAGCCAGTGGTCATGTGACCTAAGAACACTAATGGCCTACGCGTGGAACTTATTTACAGAAGGTCAGTGAGAACAACATGACGTCCAGAAGTGATGCTTGGAACGTGAGCGTGTGTGTGTGATCAGATCCAACGGCCGGTCAACTGTAATTAGCTGTAGCCACCAGCTGTTCACTCATACAACATTAGTTAGAATTTTCTCTACTTAATCACCAATAGGGAAAATGAGCAAATGTTCCATTTGAGGAGGTGCTGGCTGTTACTGAGTGTGTGAACAACTCAGTCCGGAGGAGCCTCCACTCATTTTCATGTATTATTCACCACAATGACGGCTGGTTGCCATGACTAAATGGCTCCACGTCGATGCCGAGGGCTGACTTTTAATCAACACAAACACAAACTCCCCTGGAGGCCAGTGGAACAGCGGTGCCCGTCAAGAGCACTGGTCTGCCTTTTTCAACACTTTTTGAAGAACTGTATAAAAGTCAAGAGCCGATTTCTTTTTTTTTTCTTAAGGGTAAAGGCAGCTTATAAAACCTGCCTCTACATAATGGACCTCAACAGTGTGCAGGACTGTGATGCAGATGGAATATTAACAATGTGATTAACGCGGCTGCCTCACTGCTGAAAGTTTTTTTTTTTTTTTTTTTTTTAATAGCTTGATCTTGTAAATATGCAGATTGTTCTGCTCTGTTAGTCTCACACGGCTGTGAACCTCGTGGACTGTTGAACTCTAAAAACCCACACTGATTTTTTTTTTACTCATATTATACGTGTTGAAAACAAGGATTCTAAGTACACAGTCTAATGCCTGGAATTAAACAGCATTTCTCCAGTGTTGCTGTTTTACAGACTGCGGGCATAATCAAATCAAGCAACACTTGAGATAAGTGTTGCTCAGGGGCACACTGGCCACATTTACCTCATTAAATCTCACAGTTAAACAGTCGGTAGCAGTCGTAAATTTATATTTTTTATACATCCTCATGCTCAAAGTGTAGGTTCAGCTCTTTTATCAAAAATAATATGTAGGGAACATTCTTTTGGATTGTGAGTCATTCAACTTTGCAAAAGTTATTGTTTCTCGTACAGTCAACGGATGAGAGCTTCTGAGGTCTGCTTTTGGAACATTACGGTTTTCCAGTTAACATACAGTCAGTAGCCACAGAGAAAGGAAACTGAATAGGGTGAAGGAAAAGTATTATCACTCGGTGCTGATACAGCAAACCTGATAATTCACCTGAAACGGCAAAAGCAGTGAAAAGTATAAAAGAACAGGGGAGACGTGTGTCAGAATAGTACGGGATCCTTGAAGCATGTGGCACTTAATGTTTTTTTTTTCATATTTAATTCATTTGAGATCTGTATTATTTTTTTATTTTGTAGTTTGAATATTATAATATTTCAATATTAATGACAAATATTTGATGTTTCATTTCACATGTTTTTGTACTGAAACTGTACTGAACTGCAGTGAAAACACCAAGATACAGAGCAACCTGTGACTTTGTTGCTCTGTTCCAACCCTGATTTATCAGGTCATGCAGAGCAGCAATTCTCCTTGTTTTAATCTCCGCACTGTGTTGAGCTGCAACAGAACTGCTCCACCACTTCAGTCCTTCTGTAAAGTGTGGCTCAAAACATCAAGTAGAGCAACGCCCTTCAAATTCAACACCATTGTTATAATTAACCATTGAATCGCACCAACATTATTGAAAGAAAAAAGAAAGGTTCCCTTGGTAACGTGTGCGATATGGCACGACATTTAGCATGAAATCTCAATCTCATGAACTGCTCCCTGGAAAGTCACACTTGTGTTAATTGGAGGTGCCGACATCTGAGTGACATTTCCAGGGGAGACAGATTACATCGGCCACGTCATCATGGCTGTGCTTCAACCACTAAAAATGCTCTTAATAAAAATATGATTTTCTTCAATGACATTATCATGCTGTGTTTCCCACTCACCTCCTCCTTCTCAGCGCTCTGCAGATCCCTCCACTCCTCCGTTATGTGGCTGAAGTCGACCTTGTTCATGGGAACCTTGATGTCACCGATGGCGTCGTGTTTGGAGAAGCGATCGAAATCATAAACGGTCATCACCAAGGTTTTACCACCCAGCTCCACGTAGGGAACCTGAGGGAGAACAAAAAAACAAACAAACAAATCAAGTCAAGAAAGACAAATGTTCACTGCGTTAAATTTGTTTTTGTACAATAATGTCAGAGCAACGTAGAAGTGGTTGTTTAGTGACAGGACAAATTAACACGGTTCAACCTGCTGTGTTTTTCCCCAGTAAACATCTGTCAGTGATAATAGTGTAGAAAAGTAAAACAAACACTGCTGGTGGTAAAGTAGAGAAAATATCAACACACACATTTTCTTCTAAACTAAATTAGTTTTAGTTTTTGTCCTGTCCCAATTCATCCCAACATAAAATTTAAATTATATTGACGGCATCTTTTAAACTGTTCTGTATTCTTTCTCCACAAATTGAGGTTGACGAAGATTCAGTTTGCATACTGACAGCAGAGATTGTGTCTGATCTTCTCCTGCCTCCAGTTTGGGCAGAAATGTTATAAAAATGGAAGATTTTAAAGCCAAATAAAATAAAATAAAATAAAAAAGTAGAAACAGGCATCTGTGTTGCTGCCATGATCAAACTCACTCATCCTGTTAAACTGCTGCCTACACTCACCTCACTTTGTATAACTCACAGCAGTATTGTGATGGCTATCACATCACATTATGCTTAACTTCCACCAAACACCTGCGCTCGACTCATCACTTTAAAAACTTCGTGCTGTTGTTGAGCAACGCTCCTGCCTTCGTTGTGGCTGCAGCGAGGTGGAGGTGTAGACGTGCAGCTGCCTGAGTTCATCGAAAACACACCAAACCTCACTCTCTGCGTCTGTGTGTGTGTGTGTGTGTGAGAGAGTGAGACGTTCAGAGATAATTTGTCAGGAGCTTGTTAATGTGCCAGCTGGTTGCTGTCTCCACGCCATCTCAGCATTCACAGCTGCATGCAAATCAGAAAGTCAGTGGAACTAAACACTCCCACACTGAAATAATAATTAAAAAAAACTCTTCCAGAAGGTCAGGAGCCTGTGGTTTACCTTAAAGGTGAACTGCTCGTTGAAGACGGGGTTGAGGGTCTTCCTGTGGACCTTGGTCTCAAACTTCTTTTTCTTGTCTGGCAGCAGGTAAACCTTCACGTACGGGTCAGATGTCCCCCCCATGTCCATCGCAGGCAGCTCTGCAGCCTGGATGATCCCCACTATGAGCTGAAACAAACACACCAACACAATCACAACAACATACCGACAAAACGTTGTATCAAAGTCTGGCTCGAGGGCCTAACGTGGCACATAAGTTACACAAACATGAAATTAGATTATAAAGACTGTATGTATACGCATATACACACACACGATGAATTCAAATTCCACTTTCTATTAATGTGACTATAACATTTATGAAACTATGACCTTGAGTGTGTGACCTTGAGGTTAGTGTCATCTTTTCTCAATCAGTCCCTAATACCAGTGACTATGGGATGATTCATGATAACTTTCCTCTAAAGCGGTGCCAGGATTAGAAGGTTATGTCAGCCAACTCTGTCAGCACCTGACGAGATCTGAAAGGTCACCATGTGTCAGACTAAGAATGAGGGGGCTGGTTCAACTCGCACCAGGATGATAATTGATAACCACAGTGGGGGGCTGGAGAGGCTGATTGACCTGCCAGTCAGAGCCTGTGCTCAGAGCCCTCTGAGGAGGCTCGGCCAGTCAGTCAATCAGGTTTCTATCAGGTAGCCATCAAACGGCCAGCTGAAGACCACCGACGGCACCCGGTCAGTGGCACATGTTGACCTCAAGGAGAAGAGTAAACATGAGTCAAATGATCAAACAACTAAATTAAAACAGGTTCATTTACCACAGACAACAGTCATTCTTCTGAAGGCAAATTCAGAAAGTGAGTGTTCCATTTGAGCTGTAATTGACCAGGACCAGAGGGTGAGCCACTGTAACGCTGTGAAGCAGCACTCGGGGTTTCGAGTGCAGAGATTCTTCCTCACGTGCTGTCCTTCTGATTTCCACCCATCAAATCAGCACAGCCTGTGGCAGACACAGCATGTCGCGGCGTCTTTACTCAGAGAGGCACTGAGGCTTGAGGACAGACGGGAACAGGACACAGTGGGAAATGTCCATTTGGTTTCCTCATTGGACTAAGTGTCTTTTCTGTTTCACAAACTCTGAATAAATTTAAATATTCAAAGACTGTAGTCTCTGAGAAACAGTTACAGTTAAAGGAGCAACCTTTTAATTATAGAAATAAAGTTTCTGTGTCAACAAAGCAGTCTCTACCATGGATGATGAAAACATGGCTGTAGGTACAGAGAGGTGCCGCCTTATAATAGTCTTCTTCTGTAAGTCAGCCTTATAAAATAAAACACTCACACAAAATAATAAGCCAATAACTATTGCTAACATAAAAATGTTGTTGTTGTTTTTTTTTTGTAAACTTCATAGTTGCTGGGTTTTCTTACTAACTTCACCGTTGTTGTTTTTCACTAACTTCATAACTGTTGTTTTTGCTAACTTTAACAATTTTAATTTTCTGAACTTAACAGGCAGAACAATTAAATACTCTTCGCTAGGTGGCAGCAGATGGCGAGGAAAACTAAAAACAAAACAAAACCAGAGCTGTTTAAGATCTTTGTGTCTTTCTTCAATTCCTGCCAGTATATTAGTGTTGTATTCAACAAAACAGGAGTACATTTTTAGTAAATATAAAACAGAATGTTATTTTATTTCATTGCGACATGGCGTGAAAAGGCGAGCCGTACACTAACTCCATGAAACAGTATTCCGATGGATTTTCTCCTCTTTGGCAGCTTAACTCTACCAGCCCTGAGCCAGTGTTTCTTTGTCACGTACCGACACACACATACAGGCGTGTGCACACACACTTCCACAGAAGTCTTTAATCCTCCTCTCTGACTCATATTTACTGCAGCTCCTTTGTGTTTAACTTGAAAAAAAATGAACTGAAGGTGAAAAAAAAGAAATAATACGGCTGTTCTTATATTCATCGCGCTCTGATAATGAGTTTAAAATCCACATACACCAAGATGGGCCCGCTGTTGACCCGCGAGAAGAGCAATGAATATGGTAATGATGTTGAAAGTGGGGATGACATTCTAATTCTGCCCCTGCTGTGCTGAGAGGCTTCTCTCTGCTCCATTTGCTGTGTGTTTGTCAGACAGTCACGACGCACAGCCTCCCGAACTGATTTGGACGCATTACAAAAACTTAAGTCTCATTAGTTCACGAGCGCGCTGTCATAAACACCAGGAGGCTACAGTCAATTGTGTTGGTTAACAGACTGAAACAAAGACGGTTATTATTCTTTCTTTTCATCCTTGAATATTATATGAATCCACACGATTCTCTGATTTTCTCACTTCGGTCTTGGAAACACAACCCTGTCATTTATATCTTAGACTGTGATACTTTTTATGCAGATGATAGTTATGATTATAACCTTTTTGTGTGAAGAACTTTGATCTGCTGGTTTATCTTGACGTCCAAAGGACGCCTGAGAATGAGTTCTGTTTAGCAGCTCTGGATTTAAGAAATGGTAAACAATCTTTCTGATGTTTTTGTCCTGGATTGTTACCACTGTCTTACGTGTTTTATGGCAAGCCGTCACTAAGAAATCTTTCTGATGTTTTTGTCCTCCGTCTTACGTGTTTTATGGCAAGCCGTCAGAACAGAATCAGGCCGTAAGTCAAAGATCTCCTGTATTCTAAACATTTACAGCCCATTACAAACCATGTATCTATCTTTATTTTTTGGTAACTTTTTTTTTAGCTAGTTCTTACTAAACTCATAAACTTTGCGTTGTGACAGACTGATCTGAACTGTCCATGGTCTAACTCCACCCTCACCTGACGCCTGCTGGTTTTTCCCACCCACCTGAGGACCGTGACACTATGGTACCAGCTGGCTGGTAATTGTGATTCAGGCTTTTCAACATTGTGATGTTGATGTTCCCAAATCGTTTTAAATTTCACCACAGGTGCGTGGACACTGCTCTGTGATCTGTGGTTTGTCGTCTCGCTCTGTTATGTTTCCGAGTGTTTGCACCTGAATCGTCAAACATCACCGTCTCTCCGCAGCCTTTTGATGTTGTGATGTTTGTGAAGCTGCGTCCGACGGTGTTTTACCGATCCCGAAAATCCGACAATCACACACACTGCAGGCAGCTGTCAGCCTGGAGTGTGAGGGAGCCGTGATGGAGGACAGGGTTTGAACCATTTATCTGTCAGACTCCTCTTCATTACACAGCTAAGGTAGGTTTGGTTTGAGGTTTGGGTGTGAGTGTATGACATACATATAACCAATGAAAGGTTCTAATAATGACCAACAGAAGAGTTGAGTTAAGAGTTTCTTAACTGAACCACAGAAAAATGTTGATGTCATTGCTACAAAAATCCTAATAATTTATCAAGATCTAGTATAAATCTTGGCATCTCACAACACTACCAAATATATAAAAACATTTGGCATTGAATCAACAACCTTTCTAAAATGCACTGATTTTTTGTGAGAGCCTTCGGTCCTCATGTATATTCAGGTTATGAAATCTGGCCTTCCAAAGTCCTGCTTTGAAGCTTCCTGATGCCCATTTCCTCATTATATATTACACTTATTTATCAGCATTGCTTTTCTAAGTGAGTCTCAGAATCGGAGAATGGAAAGAACATTTTATGATGGCCAGCTCTAAAAGTAGGTCAGAGGAATTGTTTCTTGATTTTTCCACACTGCTCTGCTTGCCGCCAGCAGCAGCAGCAGCAGCCGCAGCAGCAGCAGCAGCCGCAGCAGCAGCAGCAGCCGCAGCAGCAGCAGCAGCCGCAGCAGCAGCAGCAGCCGCAGCAGCAGCAGCAGCCGCAGCAGCAGCAGCAGCCGCAGCAGCAGCAGCAGCCGCAGCAGCAGCAGCAGCCGCAGCAGCAGCAGCAGCCGCAGCAGCAGCAGCAGCCGCAGCAGCAGCAGCAGCCGCAGCAGCAGCAGCAGCCGCAGCAGCAGCAGCAGCCGCAGCAGCAGCAGCAGCCGCAGCAGCAGCAGCAGCCGCAGCAGCAGCAGCAGCCGCAGCAGCAGCAGCAGCCGCAGCAGCAGCAGCAGCCGCAGCAGCAGCAGCAGCCGCAGCAGCAGCAGCAGCCGCAGCAGCAGCAGCAGCCGCAGCAGCAGCAGCAGCCGCAGCAGCAGCAGCAGCCGCAGCAGCAGCAGCAGCCGCAGCAGCAGCAGCAGCCGCGTTGAAACCCGTCCGTCTCCCCTCAGGTCACTGTCATAAAGCGTAAAAACTGTCATCCGTTCATTAGAGCCCGGCTCCACTGTGGAGCCTAATATGAGTTTAATCATGAAGCTCATACAGAACCTGTCACCGCCTCCCACCACATGACAGATCAACTCAGCCAAAGGTAATAGTGTCCACATTCTATTCACGTTAATGAAAAGGCCCAGTGTTTTTAACAAAAGAATACTTTTCATTCACTAATGAAGTCTCCACCTTTTGAAATTCTGGTGGAACGTCAGATTCTCTTTTCATTCTTATATTTCTACAGTGGAGCACATTGATCTTTGAACACCACAGGTGTATTCTGAATGAACCTAATTCAATTTTATACATGGTCTATAAGCAAGAGAAAAAAGCTGATCTGATTGGTCATGAGCCTCTACATTGCAGATCTCTATATTTTTAAATAGGGGTAACGAAATGTCGCTCTGTCAGGGTTTGGTGCTGAATTTCAGCCTGTGATGTTGTCGAATCAGGAAAGGCGTTATTGAGTTCTCACTTATTTCTAGGTGTAATATAAAAGAACACAGGTGTCTAGTACAGACCTATTTTGATAGAAGGGATGAAGCTACTGTCTGACGGTGTGTTTGAGTCTGTGTGTAAAGCAGCACACCATGTTACCGTCTAATCTCCGCCTGTCACTTCTGTTTATAACGGTGAGTTAGCCGGCTCGGAGAGAGACAGCGCCGTGTTCACGCACCGCGTCCACTATCTGTCACAAAACATCTGGCGCCGGGGAGCTGATGCGCTTCCTCAATTTGCTTTTTAAAACTCAGTGGCAGGAAAAGAACCCGGCAGATGTGCATCTGCAGGAGCTGTTCTCAAAAGAGTGGGAATAAAGAAGCTAATTGTGGAGATGAAGTGAGTCCCTTTGCTGCACTCTCCTCCTTTACAAGGCTGAGTGGTTAATACACAAACTCCACACATTGGTATCCCTGAGAGATTGTTTCTGAGCTTCAGTGATTTGACTCTACAGCTGGAGCGCTGAAACTAAGGCAGAATATTGTGCAAAACCCGTGCTGGGTCTGAATATGTTAAACTGGTAAAGTTTTAGCATATTTTCAGTACAATATAGATGCTGGGTTTTAGCATATTTTCAGTACAATATAGGGTTTTCTCTCCTGACTTTGGGTTGTCTTTTATTCACTTCACTATTAGGTTTTTTCTAGTAATAATTTGAGTAACGTTTCACTTCTGTATTGGTCGTATAATTGTTAAAACACACAGACAGTTGTTAAAGCCTTTACTAAATGTCCATCGTTACTAAAGCTTCCAAAGATAAAAAGAAAAAGAAAAAGGGAAAATCAAACATCAGATTCTTACCGTATTCTCTGTGAAATTGTAATCCAGGGAGTACTGTAATTTGCCCAGTTTCTCGTCCTCCTTGGGCGTGGTCTCTTTCTCCGTTTCAGTCAGCCCTGTCTCCGCATCCTCCTCATCCTTCAAGGCCTGAAGGAGACACCCACCAAGAGTCAGTGTCGCCTGCTTGTCGCTGGCGCTAGCACCCAGCCAGCTGTTCCCCGCCCAGGTCCTGCCACTGGACCTACTCCTGTAAAAGCTGCCACTTTTTTATGGTGTGTAAGAGGTGGGGTACGAGGGTGGAGGGAAGCAAGCACTAAAACACCATAGCAGTAAACACCAGGACATGCTCTGTGATGCATTAAAGCCCTTTTCCCCTGGTGATGCTTTCTACGTATTGGTCTTTTGGGAGTTTCTGTCTAAAGAGAGGACGACCTAATGATGGCGCCAGAGATGAGAGCAATGGGCAGGCGAGAGAGGAAGGAGAGGGGAAAGGTCAGGAGAAGAGAGAGACAACAAAGAAATATGCTTCTGGAAAAGAAAACTGGATGTGGTTCAGATCAGGTCTGTGGCCAAGAGAGTTTCTGTTTTGGTAAGCCTGTCACTGAGGTGAAGGTAGCAGGTGGTGCCACTGGTGTTTTGGCAGGTGGAAGGTAGGAGAGGAGAGGTGAGAGAGGTGGAGACTGTTAGAAGTAAAACATGCGATTGAAGAGGCAAGGACTTGATTCGCAAGGTCAGTCATTCAGTGTCAAAAGTTGCTCTTCAGAACGTGTCTCTGTTGGGCATGCAGAGCATTCTCTTCGTCGTACAAACCAGTGCTCTTGTGTGATTTTCTCTTAAACCCCCATTCACAGGTCTGGTTACGGCTTTGGCATACAGTTGCATGGCTATCATTACCCTGAAGCCTTTGTGTTAATCTCTATGCTGATGGTAGCTAGAAGCATCATGCCAGCAGTGAGTGGGCAGGTGTTGGTAAAAGGGGTTGTAATGTAAATTTAGGGCCTGCTCTTATCACTTCATCAGAATCCCCATGTGAAAAGCAAAAGGCTGAACAACACTGATTGGCTCTAAAAGCTTGACTTTGTGCCACTTGGTCTCTGCCTTTGTATTGACATGTTTAATTTAGCTTCAATTTGGTTTTTCTAAGTAGGGCTGTCACTTAAAAAATATATATATATCAAAAGAAATAGACTTTGGAAAGGATTCAGAAACTGGTGCTTCACGTGTCTTTTTGGGTCATAATAGTGTTTATTCACATGTTCACCGTGCAGCCAAGAGGCATCAGAAGTTAGCTGTGCACCGTTAGTATTTTAGGTTCTGTTAAACTACCAGAGGGGATGAGGAGCACGTTTTAAAGTGTTAGTATTTTGGGTCCTGGAAAATCTTTGGACACATTTTTGCAAATTGGTAGCCACTTGCTAACAGCAAAAACATCTGAAAAACAAGCAAATTTAGACTTTAGATTTAAGGAATGGCTCTGTCTTGTTTTCATTAGTGAAGACCATCTGAGGTTGAGCTACAGTTAGTCTGCCCTCTGCTGGAGCATGCAGTAACTATTGTACTTCAGACACTGTACGTGGACAGGTTTTTCACAGTGGGAAACGCACTTTTTTAATCCACTTAAAAAAATGACAGCCCTAGTTTTTCCATATATGTTCAGAGGAAAGGACCTTAAATAAAAAAAGTGGATTTCAATTGACGTGTTTAAAGGACATTTTTTCCCGGGGAATCCATTACTCTGATTGACAAATGTAGAAGCACATACGGCTCTACTTTAAAAGCTTCCCTTTTATCAACCTTTTTTAAAAGCACATTAACTTCTGGAGCCACTTCGACTCTCTACGTTCACCCAAAGGTGCTTGAAAGGCAGGAGACTCCAGCTGTGCACTGAGATCAGAGTGGTTCAACCTCCTCGATGCACACCTACAGAAGTGTGTCTGTCAGACTGAGATGTATATATGTGCGTATGCAGGTTGTACACACATATATACAGCAGATATACATATACTGTATGCATAGTTACATATATTAGGTTCTATGGGATCAGTTGTCGTCAAGAGGCTAATGACAAAATAAAAAAAGTCAGAGCAGCAGGCTTTAGAAGATCCAACAGCAATTTAGGAACCTACCGCCAGTGACCATCCCGAACAGTCATCAGACACAACACAGATAAGGAGGACATAGAAGGAAGAAACACAAATTAAAACAACCACACACAGGAGTTAACACACCAGATTCTGGGCTCACCAGGAGAAATGACCGCTTAGCTAGCAGGTTTCTGACTACCAAGTTTAGCAGTGGCAAAGCATGTAAACATTTCAAACAAAAGCTAATCTATGATTTTGAACTGATGGACTTAAAAGCAATGGGAATTTTAAAGATCCCAAAGCATTTTTTTTAATGTCAAAATATTCATTCACATCAGAACCTAAGAAAGAATAGAAACATCATCACCGGGTCCTGACTATTCTGACACACCTGTGATAGCAGAGGTGTTACGGCAAATTAAACACAATTTTGTCATAATTCTCCCAAAGCTGAGATGAATTAAAAAATGCTAACTCTGTTCGTGGTGTCTGTGTTTCTCAGTACTTCTGTCTAGGCAGTTAGAAAACTGAGACCTAATTACATTTTCCCTCATTTGTTCATCCTCCTTGGTGTCATTTCTCTGGGTGGGTACCACCTCATTAGACAGCAAACCCTACTCACACTTTTCAACAAGTCAGCAGGTCCTCATAAGACAAAAAGAACAAAAACAGGCAGAAAAACAGAGACCATGACCCTGAGGTAATTTAAAACCACTGCCACTAAATATTTGTTCTTTGTCGAATATAAGCAGCAATTAAATAACATGTTTTTGTCAGGTTAAACAGTTAAAATGGAAAATCTCTGGAGGAGAATCACTACGGTGGTCTGAAGGGAAGTAGTCCGCACATTGAATTTGGAGTTATTTTCATTAAATTAACTCATTTTGAGACAAAGTTTAACTACTGTCATAACAAATGACTCTCTCATGTCTATGTCTTAGACAAAAGGACTAGGGCGTTAAATTTCGAAGCAACAAAAGTTCAAAGTCATCACCTCCGTTTTGGTCCCGTCCATGACGTCCTTCATGTTGATGGCGTTCTTGCCCTTGTCCTTGCCCTTCTTTTTGTTTTTCTTCTTGAATATCCACTTTTTGCAGATGCAGAAGCAGCATGCTAACACCAGGATGATGGCCACAAACGCAATGGAGACGATGGCCCATGACGGCACTGGTGGGAGGGGCGAGCAGAAGGAGGGTCAGTTGACAAAAGGAGAAGTTCTGACACTGTTGGAGTGTAAATAATAACACTACTGCATGGAATTATCTCAGCCCAGAGCTTCTAGAAGTGTGGGCAATGGAGACATGACAGGTGAGGCACAACAATCTTCAAGGTTCAAATGATGACGGCACAACTGTCCTCTCATTTTCTCTAATTTTCTTCTAATTTGATGTTATTGATTTTGATTTATTTTTAAATATTCAACAAATTTGAAATGCAATTTGTCAAGATTTTGGTTGGGGAATGACCAAAAAAACGCCGTTACTGTTCAAGGAAAAGCTGAAACATCACAGTTTGTTTGTTCAAAGTTTGAGAACCACTAGGTTAGCCTGACCTGAATCAGAGTAAAGTACTGTTCAAGGAAAAAACAGCTGAAACATCACAGTTTGTTTGTTCACTATTGTACATTATAATACTATGGTTTAGTAACAGTTCTCCTCACCATCAGCTTTGGATGATTGTGAATTCTGTTCTTGCCAAAAATATCCAAGACCCGTTTTTCTGACCTAAACCTTTTAGTGAAGGATTTCTGGTATTATGTTGAATTGAGGAACATTGTTCAACATCTTGTCCATACAAGTCCGGGTTATTGTGAATTACCCTGATGTGTGCTCATTTTAATCTGATTAGACTCTATCCAATAATCTAGCTGTGAAGCAGCTGGGACAGTTCTGAAAAATGCTGCGAGCAAACACTGCAGCCATCTGCACTCAACAGCAGCCGCACAGGCCGAATCTCAGTGACGGTTTGAAAAGCAGTCACTTGACACTTTCAGATAATGAAACAAGGATTCAGCTTTTTGTGAATCACACAGTGACAAAAACAGTGATTATATAAAGAAAAACAGGTGAGAAAAATGCAAATGTCTGAGCGGTCTAAGCCTGGACTCACGCCTCACAACTAACGATTGCTCCTGACCAGTAGCACACGACCCCACACAACACCTTGAGCAGAGAGTAGACGTTACAGATGTTGACATTTTCCATTTGCTATTTAAAATAAAAGAGGCTCAGACAGCCGACACCTACACGCGATCTGCTGCTGGTGGGGATTTTGCAGGGCTTATTGGAGAGGCATGAACAGAGGTGTGACTGTGATCAGGCGAGAGTGCAGCGAAAACAAATGGGTTCATGGGAGGTTTGATACGTATTGTTCACGTGCACTTAAACCTTCAGCAACTTTAAAAAGAGCGCAGCAACCTACGGTGTTAAGACGGAAAACTCCAAATGTTTCTGCTCGGATGAAAACAGCTTTTTTGGGAGGATTTATACGAGTAGTCATTTTCATGAAGAGCATCAAGAAATATTTAAAAATAATATTTAAAATAATAAAACACAAGGAAAGCATATAACCAGACACTGGTGTCATGTAGGTATGAAAAAAATGGACGACATTAAGTATCAGTTTATCAGCTGTTTCAGATGCAGACAATGTTGCAGGTTCCATTTCCGTGAACACTGTAAATTAGAAACAGCATTCCCGTTTCCGTCCCCACCATATGGACCACTGACGGCATCTGACTGGATAAATTGGACAGCCATGTCACCTACAGCCCAATCTCAGCTAACAGCCAGCTGCAAACAAACCCACCTTAACCAGAGCCAGCAGTCAGCGATTGGTCCCTGGTGGATTCATCCAGATACAGGAAAGCAAACACACAAACAACAATGACAGGATCTGCTCCAGGAGACGCAGGAGAATTCCACAGAGGCTGAAAATAATGAGAACTCGGGGCAGACTTTGCCCTTCAGCAGTCATAATCAATGCTCCTGCCTCTTTCCACATGTCTGAGGTGTTTGCCCAGGAGATGCGATAAATCCAACAAAGCAACAGACGACATAAACCCAGGTCAGACCTCAACCTGCTGAGGACTTTATCAGACGTTATCTGGAAAGATTTATCAAAACAGGAAAATATAATACACTTCATCATTCTGTTTTGTTTTTTCCACTTTCTTCTCCACCTTCAATCGAGGTTTCTCTCCCTAAAGTCTGGAGAAAGAAAAATCAATGCTCTGTTGACAAAATCAATAGACACTGTCTTCTGAGAGAGGAAGAAATTGGTAGTGAGGCTTTAAAATAACTTTAGCATTTACAGCAACAGTCCAACGGAGGTGACCCTGGGCGGGTGAGTCACACTCAACAGGAAGCTGTGGCTGCGATTTGGACATAGATAAAGGCTGAATTCTTAAAAGCATTTGATTAACAGATGTTGCTTGGTAACTGTGAAACCAGTGTAAAAATTAACAACACACACATTCACTCTGCCTCTCATCACAGTCTGTGTCTTTCACCCCTGGTTTAAACCATCTCAACATTAGCAGGTTAGCATTTAACCCTTAGGTGAGAGCTGCATTATTTACACCAACAATATTTCTATTGTGCATTACGACAGTTTTTAATGTCAGTACTGATCAACACCCCAACATTCACCATCATTATCATCATTAAAGACTAAACCGTTAACATATTTAATTAGCTGAGCCTCAAACCAGACTGAGGATTGGTTGTATTTGCAGAACCATAACGGTTCGAATCATCTGCACTGCTGAAACATGTCACGGTACTAACACATCAGCTTGACCTTGAGCAGAGCTTGGATATTTTGTTGGAGTAGCCTTCAGAATAGTGACGTAGCCCTAAGACGTCTCCATCCCCCGACGCTGTCGACGTGTCTGATGGAACACAACTTAAACATTTACACTGGACTCAGTGCAGGAACCTGGGTCTTATCTTATTCATCAAGAGCACGTCTTCCAGTGAAAGGCACTTGTGTGTTCCTTAATTAACAGAACCTGAGTCCCAGAAAGCAATAAAAGCATCTCCTAATTAACATGACTGTGTGAGTGTCTTTTCTCCAGAGAGAAATGGAGCAAGAAAGACTGAAAAAGAGGGGAACTGGCGGCGCCCGCTCACTCCGCACTTCAACTGCAGCCACTTATCTCTGGTTCCGCCATGTGACATGGCATGGAAAATAGAGTTTCTCCTAATGGGGCGGGGTTGCTTTTGATGTGTTTCACGTTTGCTGTTTCTCGTCACGCTCAAACCCTCGCCCCCCGTCATCAAAGTGTGGAAAAAACACAGCGTTAAAATGTGAATGAAACGCTGACGGAATTTAATCCCTCCTTTAATTCTGCAGTTTCATTAAAAGTCAGTAGAGGTTGTCACGGAAACAATGCAATGTTGTGATACATAAATAAAATATTAGTTTTTTTAGTAATGTATGGAATGCCTGCTTTGCCACTAGTGTAGTCATCGTAAACATCAGAGCAGAGTGTGAATCTGTAAAAACAGGTGAAACATTACCTATTCATAGAAACAAAAATCATGAATATTTTAAAGCCATGAAAAAGTTACGCTTTGTGTTAATAATACCTACATGGAAACATCATTTAAAAATTAGGCTCCATTCCTGTTGGACAGTGGCAACATTTTCAAACCAGAGGTTTTGTCTTATCAGGTATGATGTACAGTATGAGCTGTAGTCTCAGCATTAAAAACAAACTTTAAAAACAAAATTTCAATAGTTGACCTTTTTTATGCCCTTCAAGAGAAGTTTCCTTAAAGTAAAACAATGTGACAGAAGTAGGAGACAATATAGTAATATTCTGTCTGCTTTCACAGCAGGAGCTTTAAACCAGGGGATGAATGGTACCATGGACAGAGGCACTAGTCCTACAGGCAGAGGTACTAGTTCCATGAACAGGGACACTAGTCTCATAAATAGTATTATGGGTCGACAAAAGTCACTATGAAGAGAGAGAGAAACAGTCCAATATATGAAGACACTAGTCTCACTGACATCCAATATTCAGCAACCAACTAATACTGAACCAGCCCACAGGTCAAACCAGAGACTCCAGTCTAGTCTAGTCCCATGGACAGAGACAGTTGTCCTGAAGCATTAGGAACTATATTCAATCAAACACAAACTAAGGAAAGTTTAATTTCACAGTGAACATCCAGGTGCCGTGGCCTTATCCAACAGTTCATAAAGAACGGGCATTGAGTCTAACAGGCTGTATGAATAAAGGTGGACATAAATGACCTTTTGTGATTTTAATTGGAAAAGACTTTCCAATATTTTATTATAAAAAGGAACTTCTGTTCCACTTGGATGTGTGCTTTATACCTGTGTGAAGAGTCAGGGAATCTGTTTCAGATTTGAAGGTTTTTTTGTGAAAACTGTTCGACTACAATTTGCCCCCAATTCTTCCATTGTGACAAAACGACGGCGGTCCCACGTGACGTAAACTACTTTCGGCTAAATTATTGTCACACAAAAGCAGGACAATGTTCCGATGGAAGTCGACTTGAATGATCCTCAGCCTACAACATTTATGATGAGGTTGAGTCCAGATCAGTTTCTGTTTCCTCTGATTTTAATGTAGTCTCTAATTAATTGAGGTTTGTGTTTTTGTATTTGCTCTGTCCAAGTCACTATGTTAATCCGCAGCACATTACATTAACATAACAGTGTGAAGTGGAAAAGGGCTTAATGGATGCCTTCAAAAGTGTGTCTGTGCTTGTGCTTATGTGTGAATTACATCTGGGTAATATCCACTTCCAGCAGGCCACACTAATCCAATGTGACAGGACCCTGTTGGTCAATTAACCTTGACATTAGATCGTGTTATGCCTACGAGAGCTCCAGTCTGCCTGTGGCCTTTTAGCGACACAGCCTGTTTAAGCAAACAATACGACAGCAGCAGAGGGCAGTGTCCAAATGTTGGGGAAATTATTTTTTAACAGGGCAGTGACAATGGGTGGTACTACAAAATAAACAAACTACGAGACCATGAGCCTTGGTGGTTTTCATTTGTCAGATGTTTCTTTATCTCAGTCTGGAGTCAATAAGTCAAGATCTGAACAAGTCATTCCACCCAGGCGAACCAAGACCAAAATGTCGGGATATTTCTTTTAGCATTTTTTGAGTTTTTGAGTCGATGTTCTTCTATGCAGATGATGCCATTAATGACATCTAAAATATAATTGCAGCGCCTTCAATAAAATAAATGCTTTTTTACATTAGATTTTTTTTAACGTTTGCTGAGTCAGCTGGTCCTTGAGTAGTATATGTATATAGTAGTATATAAGTATATGAGGCACATATGCGATGTCAGTGAATCTAATCACGTCTCCAAATGTACTAGTTAGGTTTACAGACCAAACATATTTTACTCTTCTGTCACAGAGATTAAAATACCTAACAATAATAAATGTTCCAGAATGAAAATATCTTTTAAAATACATTTTGATTCATTAAAATTGAATATAATAAAAAGGAGATAATAGGAAAAACATGTCACCTTCCTACCAGTAAGATAAGTGTTGAAGAGTTGTCAGAGAAAATGCAACAACAGCCTCACCACCGGGGCAGTTGACAGTTCAGCACAGACAGCTTCAGCTTCAGCAGTTGCAGGGTTTAAATTGGGTTATAAGCCTGAAAGAACAGGGGCCGGGAAGTGAGTGACCGCGCAGCCTCTCTTTCCTATCCCCATTCTCTGCTTCCTGCAACCTGGCTCTCTCCAGACGGTATCGATATTCCACAGAGTAAACAAGTCTAGCGGGATTCATCATCAACTTTGCAGCAGTGGGCAGCGGACTCACTGCTTTTGGACTGAGAAAACAGTCATTCAAGAGTCTGAATAATAGATTCATTCAGATAATCAGATAAAAGACGTTCTGAAGCCTGTGGAGAAATAAGCTGTGGATACATCTAGACCTCCAGATAAGAAGGGAAGCAATAATGCTTTTCTAAAGATGGTGAAAAACATGTCAGGCAACATGAGGGGGAGAGAAAAACTGCCGCTTCCAAACCCACAGTGGATGTTGTTGATCGTTGATCCTGATTATCAACTCACTGTTCAAAAATAAAACTGTTATTTTGTTCCAGAGAACAGGACCAGATATACAGTACCTTCTGATGTAAAGAGGAGGCTTCCTCACTAGATCTCATTTGTTGATGAAATATGTTTTCTCTCTCTTTCACCGAAGCCATTTGCACACACACACACACACACACACACACACCACTGGATATACAGGTGCTATATTTAGATTCGTGTTGAAAACACAAAAGGATCCTCTGAGCCGTGCTTTATCTTAGATGATGGATTCACAAACATGTTCTCCCACACATCAAACTGCTGAGTTTTCATGGGATATAAGAGAGTGTGCTGGCCTGTCAGTGGAAAAATAACTAATAAAGTGGTGTCTGCACCAACAGGGATGCACAAACACATGTCGTTTTGATCTTCACTGTATTCAGAATTCACATACTGTACCTTTATACCTGAGTCTGACTTAAACTAATGAAGGCCAAATAGTTCCCAAAAAAACCCCAATACAACCAAAGAAAGGCGACTGTAGCACAGTCCAATGTACGACGTACAATCTGTGAATGTAAACAAAGCCGTCTTTTACGTGTAGCACCGCAGGACGATGTATTCGTCGCTCCGCTTGCAAAATTTGTTTTAATGCCAAACATCAGAGTGATGGAAGAAAGATTTTCACCGTATGTCGAGGACGTTGTAAACCGAGGACGTTGTAAACCGAGGACGTTGTAAACCGAGGACCTCCTGTACTCAGTGGTTTGGGTGTATTTTTAAATCAGGGATGAAAACAGGCCCAAGACTTGACTGTATTTACATAAAATCATACTATATTAAACCTATTTATTGTAAAGAAAATGAAAAGAAAATTAATTTTATACTACATTTCTCAGACTGTTTTTGTTGTAATAATACCCACATCTCCCCATGCAGATCAGTTAAGTGTTTCTGAATACAGGGTTTCACTGTTAGATTTGTTCTTTAACAATAAAAACAATAATAAAAAAAACACCTGAAGATGTGCTTTGACGCCATATACTGTACGCTGAAGTCTCATCTCAGTTTAAATGTCAGTGGATATGTGAGGAGTTTTAACTGTCATCGTGTAAAGACAGTTTACAAAGTTACACTTTAGTTACTGCTAGGAGAGAGAGGCACGGATCACACCAACTATGAGCAGAGGTGAAGAGGAGGAGTAAAGACTCTTCATCCCACCTCTGCTCTGCTCTGGAACAAAGCAGACATATTTGACTAAATGAACGACATCAACGAGTCACGAGTAAAAACGACGATGGCGGCCGCGGAGCAGACTGCCAAACAGTTGACACACTGCTGCCAGATGTGTATTTTCCAGCCGAGGTGTCAAATCTATTCATTGTGGTGACTCCAGCTGAGCGTTAAATCCTCGGATTTGTTTTGATTCAGAAGCTTCAAATAAAAGGAGACATAACTGTTTCACTGGATATAAAAGACGCTTTGATATTATTTTCTTTTTTCATTTTGTGCGTCATTGACAAAAGTTCACTCGATGCTCCTCCTGAAGCTTTAAAAGTCCAGGTCAGACCAGGACCAGGATGAATTCACTGAAGGGTTTTTGTTGATCAGAGAAATCATTTAATCAGGTCCCAAACCTGCGTCACACAGACGGCTGAGGTTCCTGTTGTGCTGAAGCATTAGCAATAAATACTCTGTTGTTGCAACATCCTGTGCATTTGAACTTCAACTTCAACTTCAACTAATTGTTATTTTGCATCACAACAGGGAGCAGTAAGCGCTCAAATAGACATTAATCAAAAGTAAAAAGACTCAAAATCTTCTTAAAGAGGCTAAACAACAAAATAGTTATTTCACACACGTCAAAAATGTTTTTATTATTGGTTTATCAAAAAAACTGTGACTCATGGTTGTCACAGTTAAAGGGACTGTAATTGTTTTTGTATTTATAATGATTTTTTTATCATTTGAAAATACATATTTGAAAACTGTTATTTGAAAATAAATATAAATATATTAACAATTTATATATGTAATATATTTTATATAACTTTATTTAATAACTACCGTATTTTATTACCAAAGAAAAAATATAATGTTCATGTATGAATTATTTATTTTTATAAGTGATGGATTTTTCCATGTACTGTTTTTGTTATGTTAGTCAATAAATAGGAAAAAAATAACTAAATAAAACCAGAAACACTCACGTGGGATTTTGTTGAGCTCATTCATGAACTTCTTCTTCAGCTTGGAGAAGGCCTCGTCGTTCTCTCCAGCTCCTGCTCCACCCACGGTGGTGTTGGAGCCGGCCGTTAAGGACGAGGCAGTGGTGGGCACGGGCGCCGCTGCCAGCGCCTCCCTTCGACTCTCACTCATGGTGGTGATGCTGGGCGGCCAGACAGATGCTGGAAAGAGAAGAGAGAGAGAACGAAAAGTCATGGAGAGGGTTGGATGTTGTTTTTCTTTCTATTGTAGTGTAGCAGACCTATGTCAACGGCATCGACGCCGGCGTCGCCCTGCTCAGATGACTAAGTTGACGCAAGGCCTGAGAGCAGCTGCTGCCTCTGACTGAGTAAACATTAGCTGTGGTCCAGGATGAATTGGCCAGAGCAGTGAATTCAGAGCGGAGCTCCTCGCTCAGGCTGCAGCTCCTGATTAACATCAAACAGCGGAGCTGGAATGATTATTTATTAGCCCCGAACATCACAGGCAGTAAATCTCACCACTGCCACTGGCTTTCTATTGAATCTCTGCTCACACAGAGTACAGTGAATACAGACAGATAGTATTACAACACAAAGCCTATCACGCCCGGCCCTTTATAGACAACAACAGCATTTATATTAGATGCATTCAGGAGAGGAAACTAGATTTGTTGACATCTCTTTTGACCAACTTAGATTGCTTGCTAACATTAAAAAACAAAGTCACTGAGCTGTGGATAAACTATGACTACAAGGGTTTTAAAAACCTGATCAGATTGAATGCATTTTGATTGTCCCAATACCAATTCTCCTTTAGGTGTCAGTGTGTGTCAGTATAAATAGTGTGTACCACATACAGTATGTAACACCAACCCAAACTACACTGAGGACCAAGCAGGTGATTGCTTATAGACAGAAAACAAACAAAATGTCTTCAAAGAGACACTGTGGACACATTTATCAATTCAACTAAAGATTTAATAATTCATTAAAAAAGATAAAAAAGTACACTAACCCTACCAAAAATACTCAAATTCACATTCAGGAAAACAGAACCCTGTGCAGGTGCCTCATCAAAATACATTTTTGTTTCTGATAACACGAACACAGCTGCATGTTTGATGGCTTGGTGTTCATGTTTGTTTGCTGTGGGAGGGCCAGATCAGCACTGTTATTATTTTTTTTTATTCCTTCCTTCACAGCATCTTTGTCTTTCACAGACAGATGTGTTGATGATACGTCATGTGATTGACTGCTACAGGAAGGAAAAAGCTTGGAAAAACAAACTGGTAATCAAAGCAACAACATGATTAAAAAACATGATTCAGTGAATAATTGAACAGAGCTTCTGTCTGTGAACAAAGCAGCATTTGGTCACCTCCGTCCTCTCAGCCCCAGCCTTGGTTACAAGGACGCCTACACATGTCCGTGTTTACTCAGCCTCCCATTGGCTTCCCTTTTATACACGACAAGGTTAGAGGAGGCTGTGGAGGCTGAGGCACGGAGAGCTACACTCAGCAGAGACAGAGATACTTCAACACAGGCCAAGACTTTTAACAGAGCACAATGATGCACCGCAGAGTGCATGTGGGAGGCCTCTTCTATAGAAGGGAATTGATCATGTCTTTAGTCAATAGATCCCTTGATCTCTGTTGTTGTGAGGCACAGAAATAAATGTGAAACATATTAAGATTTACAGAGCTGAAATGATCTGACGATCTGCAAAAACAAAGAGGAACATGAAGTCACGGCAAGGTTAAGATCACGAGACTGCAGGAGCAGAGGAGCATCTGGAGGACATCTTAGAATAGTGGCCAATCATTTCAACAGTTTCAAAAGATGATAAACACACGGAGCGTCAGGACAGCAAAAAGAAGAAGTGAATGAACTCTAAGTAGTAACTATAGTAGGTGTTAAATGTGATGCAGCAGGACTGTCATGATGACTGGGTTCTCTGTGTCATTTCCTTCTCAGGTTTATTCACGATGTTGATGTATATATATTTGGTCTATACTGGAGATGTAGCCGAACATATTGTAAGGCGTTACATATATTTACTGTATATTTTTACACGCTGGTTTGGAGATGAGTGAATACACAAAAGACAAATAACTCAAAGTCATTTTTATGTAAATGACAGTGTGAAGTAAAACCCTCTCAGACATGCAGAATCAGACTGGGTTTTCATGAATAATAAAAAAATTGTTTTCCTTTTTGCTTTTGTAAATCTCCTGCTCCACAGTCTGTGTATAAAATGTCAAACAGAAGACAGGAGCGGTGCGAGCGGGAGACACCCCACCGCTTCTGTTATGCCTCTCACCGTGGGGGCCTCACATCACTCGCAGAAATGAAACATTAATTCGGCCCATCTTTGCACCTTAATGACTACTTGCCCATCGGAGCGCAAGTTGATGACTCTCACATCATCTGCACCGTCGGCACGGCTCACAGCAGGAGGCTCTAAAAACAGACAATCTCATTTGGACTCAACCTCTCCTTATTTACGTTTATGGTAAAACCCTCCAGTAGAGTTAACCTCTGTTCTTCCTGTTGACAGATATTCATACTCTACTGTACAACTGTGATTTGATTGGCTTTTACAGACGGGCAGGCGTTTTCATACTGCAGCCCACTGATAGTTGTTTCATGACTTGTGACAACAACAAAATATCTAAATTTAAAGGTAAATGTACACAGGAGATACAATACCTTTAACAACTTGATCTTCCAAAGTAATTCCTGTTACCACCACAGGTACACAGTGCTGTCTATATCTGTCTTTATTGGAAGTAAGAACTACTAAATTGTGGAAAATACAACCAGTAGGTGGCACTATTACAACATACACCATCCATCTATCCATCCATCCATTTTCATCCGCTTATCCGTAGACGGGTCGTGGGGGCAGCAGTCTCCACGACCGCCACCCAACTCACACTGCCCCGTACCAACCCCCCTGAACCTTCCTGTGGGTGGTGAGTCCACTGGAAGGCACCAACCGCCCTAACTGGGATTCAATCTTGCCCAGGAGGTGAACCCTGGGGTCCCACACCAATGACAGAGAGCTATGCCATATATAAATACATACATACATACATATATATATATGTGTATGTATATATATATACTCAGCTGTTTAATTTCGCATAATAAAAACATCAAAATAAATATGATTTTGTCCGCCCCCAGCATGAAAAACCCCCCACAGGGACCCGCCCCTTACTTTGGGAATCCCTCTCAGCCTGAGCTTCCACATGTTTTAATGTTTTTTTCCTGAGCAGTTCACAAACTAATATCAGTTCATTTTCAGTCTTAATTTTTAACCTCCGTAGTCATTCCTTCCTCCACGCTGCTGCTGAATGCAATAAAACGCTCGTTCCTCCACCCTTTTTACCGCTAAGGTGTAAAACCCCAACCCAATTAGAGCACAGCCAGATGGCCCAGCAGGTCCCCAACCACAGGCGTGACGCTGGCAAACGGCTGCCGCCTATCACCTCCATCTTCCGCTCTGTTCTCTAACTGGGTCAGCTCTCTCTGTCCTTCCTCCATCTCCTCCGTCATCCTTTCATGTTTTTCTGTTCCACTGCTCTCCTCCACCCCTTGATTCTCATCCCACTTCTAACGTCACGCTTTATGACGGATGCATAAAAGCCGGCAAACCCGTTCTTTGAACCATAAAGGAAAGAAAGGGGTCCATTACTGCTGGCCTGAGCTCAGATTTGGACGGTGTGCTGGTATCAGGTGGACGCTTCTCCTTCCTGCTGGTTGCACTTCTGGCCATTCCTCACAATGTGCCCGGTGTCAAATCTCCTGCCGTGCGAGGAAGCGATCAAGCTGCCAAGAGCCAGGTCTGAGACACTGTTCATTTTGTCAACTAATTTTAACACAGCCCACAGATGACAGCGGAGTAGGAGTAGGAGCGGAGTTAATCTACCAGTAAATCACTAATTCAAATTCTTTATCAAGAATCATCTGCTCATTATCACTTGCTCATTTTATTTCAAACTAATCTAAAGTAGGTCAACAAATGTAGGCATTTAAGGTCCAATGTTCCAAATGACTAATTCTAATGATTATTCTAAGGTTTAAAAACTAATGTTGGAAATTCTTTCCAGATTTTTCACAAAGCCCTTTTAAAATACTGAAGCTGTTTACGAAATTTATGAAAAATGGGTTTCAAAACCAAGCCCAAGGTAGAACAGTGTCACCATGGAACCAGATGTGGTGAGAGTAGGTGGAGGTCAAGTGGAGTGAGCGTCTTTTCATGGATCGGTTTTCTAAATTAGGATGAAAGCTTTTGTTTTGTTTCCTTTAAAAATATACTGAACAAAGTGCATCTACAGGAACCACATCGAAGAAAAGGCTCCAAAATGACAGCGTTCAAAAACAAATGTAGAGTGGGGACTGTAGAGTTCACTTGTAAAAGTCAATCCATACAAAATAATTCATCCTCACTTCAAGTGACGGACGTCACGTTTAATGGACTATAATTGCCGCACTAAAATGTCAGCCTTCAGAATTGCTGTCGTTTAGAGGCGTCCAGTTATTAAGACTGGAGTCACTGTTGTGTTCTGACGCTTTTGACGGAGGAAGAGACTAATTGCTCCGCAAACCGCCTCAATGCAGGTGAATCCGAAGCTGCGCAAGGCACACACTGACCGAGCGCCTTAGTGCTGGATCAATGGAGTCGATCAATGGAGAAGACGTTTCACCAGAAGGTGTTGCAGAGTTTGAGCGAGGATCTTTAAAGATTTGTAATACATTTAGACTAGTACTAATGACTAGTGAAATCAAAGACTTGTGTTTGCATATAGAACAGAATTCTTCATCAACAGGTTAAATTATAACATTGAACCAAGGCAGATTTCAGGAGTTTGAATCAGTCCAACTCCAAATACAGCAGACTTGTATCTCTGTCAACAGTAGTGACTCAGATGCTTCAACAACAAACAGACCATTTGTCATTCAGGTCTGGTCTACGCCACCATGGCCACCCAGCTAAATAGGGTTTTTTTGTTGTCATTGTTGTCAGCAGACATGTTTTCAAGAACCATTCTGGTCTTACCTTGGTGATTCAAGCGTAAAAGTACCGTCAACATGATCAAAGTGCAACATGAAGGATAAAAAAAAAAGTTTGTGTGGGAGGAATTCTCCAAACTTTTCTGAAAGGTCCCTGAATGGGTTGTTTTTCTGCACGCTTT